TATATATATAAAACATTTATTCTAATTTAATTGAGGAAAGACCAGAGATTAAAAAAAAAACGTCATACGTTTTTACTTTTTTGTGTGCATTTACTAATTATTTTACTCTTTACTCTAATTTTGCTGAAATATATACTATAGGAAAATCATAAAAATATAACCTGGACAATTCTTAGTGAGAGACCTCATTTTTAAGTCCTAAAAATATAAACATTTTACAATATATTAGCCATTTAACCAAAATAATTAAATATATCTAGTATATCAGCTGATCAAGGTTTTTTTTTTTTTTTTTTTTTTAAAGGTGAGATTGATTAATTAACTTATTGTGGGTTTTATTTTTGAAAAGACAATAGACAATTGGCACATTGTCTAGTTCAAAGAGCAGGTCAAAACTTCCCCAGTAGTCAGCATGAGCGAGTTTAGTGTCTTTCTACCTTCAAGAAAAGGAGGAAGTTGCAGAGACACAGAAGTTGCTGCAAAGTTCAGCAGAAATGGATATGATTTTCTCCCACAGCCTGAGTGTGAGTGATGTCAGTGTGTGTGTGTGTGTGTGTGTGTGTGTGTGTGAGATTACTTTGTCTTTGTTGAAGGATCCGGTCATGCGGTTCCTCAGTGAGCTCAGAGTCCGCTTGACTTTGGTACCTTTTTCTGGACGCTCAGGTCTTTCCTCCTCTTCTCCGTCATTGCTACAAAAAAAACAACATCAAGCCCATTTAAAATTCAAATGATTTATTGAGAACAAGAGTATATCCAAGTGATTATTATATAAAGAACAGCATAAAAAGGTCTAGGACTTACTCAATGGTAAGAAACTCATACCACGTGAAATTCCCCGTCACCTCCTTTCTTTCTGTGCTTGAAGTTCTGTGTTTAGCTCTGAGGAAAATCCAAGATAATAACGATCAGGATTGAATGACTTCAGAGTAAGACTCTCCACTGGCAACCCATGCATGCTTACTACAAAATTACTCTGGATATGTTTGGCATGGCAAACTACCATACTAGACTATTTGATTGGACTAGCAAAAGTTTTTTTGGGATTTAAAATACTACTACAAAAACTTTCAGCAAAAAATATTTAAAAAAAAACAAAAAAACATGCAACATATTGAGTGACAATGTGCATACTACGGGTTAAACAGAATTATTCTATAGTAGTAGTACATAGTGCACAGTATGCAGCAAGCATCATGCAATTCCATTTTTATGTTCGGAATAGAATATTACTGTAATTTCTGCAGTATGCACATTTTCTGAAACCCACAATGCAAAATGTTTGAATAAAGCGTCCTTTTTTAGAGCGAAAACTGCATCAACCACAATTTTGACATTTCTTTCTTGTCTCATTTTACCCAGACATCCAGTTTACACAATATAGCACGCTACTTTTGAAACCGAAAACTTTAAAAAATACATAGAAAAGTAAGTATAGGTGTGTACTTTGCAGTATGCTAGTTTTCCATTCCGAACACAGCCTCTTGCTAGTCTGCTGTTAGAAGCCTCAGTTGCTGTGCAAACGTTTCATGACCTTGTTAAAAGCACGCTATGGTTTCTCGTGCAGGTTTTGAGTTAAAACAAGGACGTCCTAACCAGGAAAAGCCTCACCAGGTTTCAAAATACAGCAAGAGTGGTAAACAAAAAAAAGATATATAGTATGCCATAATTATGCAAACATACACAACATGTTCAAGACAGCCAAGTGAGAAACAATGCTTTCTATTTCGGGCCTGCAAACCAAACGTGGGCCACTCTGTTAGTCTGTAGGAGGGCACGACAGGTTCTTTCACACTGTTTACTTACCCATGATACTGCTTAAGCTCCTGCAGAACTTTCTGTACCATCAGCCTGAGACAAACAAGACACTGAGGCTAAGTATGTGTGGCAGCGGCAGGGCACACGGTGGGCCGCTGTCCAAATAAAACCATCAGCACAAAATCTGTCTATCTCACAAGTACAGGAGCAGGCCACATCCACGGTGGGCTACAATCACCCATGACTTCCTTCAGTTTAATGGAAAAAACACTTGTTTTAGATTAGTTTATCTAGATCTTTTCCTTTTAGTTCCTGTCTACTAGCTTTTAGGCTAAGCTATATTTTAGCATGCTCTAAAAGTTGATAAATTAAAATGTAGGTCTCTTTCATGAAAACAGACCAAAAATATTGACATCATCCTGCACTACATTCTTGTCCAATCAAACGGCTCTCTAGACTGAGAATGCCCTCCACCTGATACTAGCTGCAGCCAACTAGCAAGTGCAATTTAGCTAAATGCTATTGGCTTGTATTTAACAAGTCCTTCAATATGTCCCACCCTGGAACAGGAAATACATCAGGACTGAAAACTATGCTCGTCAATGTTTGTTATTAGCATAAAGGGGTGTTTTTGAGGACTACTAGTTTTATGCAAATAAAAAAGGACCACAAACCAGCTAATTACACAGGACTTTAAAGTCCCCATGAAATCAAAATGTAAATTTTTTGGGCTTTTAGTATGAATATGTTAGCCTTATAGTTATCGATAAGCTAGTGTGCTCCAAAACGATGAAAACATTTGTATTTAGAAGATATAAGCATTCAAAACTTACAGTCTCTCACTTCCGGCAATATGAATCAACGGTTTTGATGACGTCACCCTTCACGTCAGCTTCTCATCAAACTTTCTGTCCAATCAAATGCTCTCCAGAATCTGAAATGTCCTGCCCACTACACTATAAATAGACGCTGAAACTGCGGCTGAAATAGGTCACTTGTTCACAGAACTAGTATTTTCTGCATGGTGAATGGCACGTAGTGCACTATATGGGGAATAAGGAACGATTAAGACAGTGTAAATATGCTTTCCGTTGGGTCGAAAGAAGTCTGGTATTGCGTTGTGTCACGCGCACAGTGTGCTCGGGTCCAGAGACACGATATCACGGAGCGGATCATATGCGTGAGTCACGCAGACCACGAAATTTGAATTCTACACAAAATGCTATATTTTATAGCGGTTTGGATCAGATTAGGAGGAGACACGGTTAGACAAACGGCACTAACGAGTAGAAGAGATAACACCGGTGCCCTGCACAAACATAAATTACACAATTTTCAAACTACACATCCTCAGCATCATTATAATCACTGTTTTGCTTTAGTAAAAGTTTCATATTGAATCTAAAGGGCTAATCTAATTAGACCGTGGCTGTTATAAGCTGTTAAATGTGGCTTTACTGAGCAATGCTAAATGCATTCCAGGAAACCATCATGGAAGCTACTTGATCATCTTGACAGATTCCAAGGTCCTTCAGAATTATGCTAACTTCACTGGCTCAAAATAACCTTGCCATAGCTACTATTGTGCTTTTACACAAAACAAAGATGTTAAAACTTACACATGACTCCGTCCTTCTACTGACTGCAGCCCCTCTTCCGACTCCTGCTCTTCTGGAATTCCAAAGCAACACAGGTCAGGATTACATGTATTCAGTTGTCCTTTTCAGTGCTTTAAGTTCAGTTTTCTAAGCAAAATAGATATATGGCTGTATAGGGTTCTTTAGTGTCTATATCATAGGTCTTCAACCCTGCTCCTGGGAACCCACTGTCCTGCAGAGTTTCTTTCCAACCAGTATCAGGACACCTGGCCTGTGACTTTTCAAGTGATCCTGGAGGCCTTGATTAGTTGGTTCAGGTGTGTTTGATTAGGGTTGGAGCTGAACTCTGCAGGAAAGTGGGTCCCCAGGAGCAGGGTTGAAGACCTATGGTCTATATGGTTCTGTGGAGTTTCAAAAAGTTACAGGTTATTCAGATCAGTGTTTTGGTTTCTGGGTTTTTGAAAGTACCAGAACATAGTTTATCTATAGAACTACAGAATAAAAAAAAGGTAATTGTGGAAGACTTTAAATGGTAAAATGTGTGTTTTGCTTCTTTTAATCCAAGAATTCCTCCTGACATAATTAGCATTGGATTTATCTGATTGCGTCAAAGCTACCACCCATTAAAACCTGACTGGAGTTTTCTGCCTAATTGGAGAATCATTTCACTAACCTCCAGCCTCTCTGGCAGCCTGCTTAGAAGTCTCCAGTATGCGGGAGACTCTGTCAGCTTGGGATTTTTCATCAGTCGCGAGAATCTCAGATCTGGAATATACTGTCTTTGCTGGTGTAGGTGGCTTCTGTTGTTAAAACCAAATCATGTGAAAATATCATCAATAAGAGTTACGGCATAGGAAGCTAACCCTGCTCCTGGAGGGATACCTTCTGGCTAGAATTCAGTTCCATCCCTGCTCCAGCACACCTGTCTTTTATTTTCAAGTAATCCTGAGCACCTTGATTAGCTTGTTCAGGTATGTTTGGTTAGGGTTGGAGTTAAACTCAGCAGGACGGTAGTCCTCCAGGAGCAGGAGTATGGTTTATAGAGCTATGTAAAAGTCTTGCTCTGTTCATACTAAGACACAGATTTCCGTAAAGACATTTACTGTTTTTTTGGGGCTTTCACTTTCCACAGCACCCGTCGTTTCTTCCACTGAGCTTTCGGAGAAGGAGGAAGATGGTAGAAGGGGACTTTTGGTCAAACAGTGGACCTCTCTTTCCCCATCACTGTCAATGCCATTAGTGTCTAGACTGAACCTACACAACATAACCGAGCAATTTTTACATACACGCATACAACAGTGTGACACACTCTGTTACCAAACAAATGACAAACACTTCTAAACGATTTTCTAACATCACAGTTAGATATGGCAATGACATTTAGACATTTTTTGAGGACCACCATTTGGGACCACTGAAAAAGTGAGTCTTACCTTCTTCCCAGGTCAATCGGCGACACTGGCACTTCCCAGCTGTGTCTACGTGATGTGGACATGGATCTAACCAATGCAGGAAAGTTATCCGTGTCTGAGTCCTCATCTTGCTCGGATTCCGGATAATCCTGGAACTCTGAATTTCTGATAGCAACCAAGCGATCCATGGCATCCCCTCCAGTGGAAATCACGGTGTTGTCTGTCTGGAAAAGTTGATGGCTGTCGAACTCTGTTGAACTCTGCCTAGATCGACTGTCTGGTGTGGACGCAGGAGGTACCAAAGGGGCTGTACTTTTGTCAGAAATAGGTAAAGTTAAGACCAGAAGTTGTTTGTCAGGTGGTTCAGTGGATCCGAGTTGCAGGTCTCTGAAATATTCAGAATCTCTCAGAGAAGAGCAGAGGTCTAAAAGGTCCTCCTCACTGCTGCACTCGTTGCTCTCAATCAAGAAATTTATCTGAAAGCAAGAAACCCATGGACAGCTGATTTATCACAACAAAAACGTCACATAACACATGACTAATAATGTGAAGTCCAAGTAAGGCTCACGCTAGTGTCATTCAGGGACTGAAAGAGGATGCAGTAAAGCTGAACTTCTTGTGTGATGCAAGACCCACTGGCTATTAGTAAGCACATTTCATCGAGCAGACACATCGATCCAATACAGTACACTGACAAGAACAATCCCAATGGAGGAACCAGTGGTAAAGTAAAGATATTATACTACTCTTTTTAAAATTAATTTCAGTTTGTTCCTCACACAAAGCTATGATATAACTTCAAAAAGACATGTAGCCTACACAATGGACAAGTCACATGGATTTATTTTCCATATGTTCCTGGGTCAACTTTAGGGGCTTGAGCATCATTTTTATCAATCATTCGCCTTAGTTTTAGAGTTAGGTTATGGTTAGGGTCTTACCTTGTCCTCAGGTGAACTGCTAAAGAAGACGTCTTCTGGAATAGAGGTCGGGGACAAGGATGAGGAGGAGCTGGGTGCTGAGACTGGGACACGAAGTTGAGAGCATGGTTTGCAATCCGAGGCTAAAACACAAAGCGTTCCACCATGAATTTAGCTAGGAATATTATCCATAATTGTGATCTCTTGATCTCAGACTTACAGTGTTGCTTTTGGTCAGGTGCCTTATCAAACATATTGTCACTGTGCACCAGACAAAACAATTAATTCTGGATATCTAATTACATCATATCTATTGTGTTTATTCCTGAGGATTGTGACATAGCAATAATAAAGATACGGTTCTGGAGCGCCAGTATGACGGCATACACTAAATAAAATGCTCTAAATAGCTACTGCCAGAACTTATCAGTGGCTTCCATTAACTCTAGCATATTACATCAACACACAACTGGAGTCAGTTGAAGCTTGAAACGTTTCCCTGTAAATGGAAGATCTTAATCTGATGCAAAATGGAAGTATTAGTTTACAGAAGCAAAACTCTGGGTTGTGTTTGATAGCGGGTATATAATGGCCTCCAGCCTGATGCTATAGGACAGGGGTGTCAAACTCAATTCCTTGAGGGTGGGAGTCCTGCAGAGTTTAGATCTCTAATTAAACACACCTGATCCATCTAATCAGGTCCTTCAGGTTTATTTGAAAACTACGTTGTATGTGTGTTGGAGCAGGGTTGGAACAAGCTAAAGAAGACGTCTTCTGGAATAGAGGTCGGGGACAAGGATGAGGAGGAGCTGGGTGCTGAGACTGGGACACGAAGTTGAGAGCATGGTTTGCAATCCGAGGCTAAAACACAAAGCGTTCCACCATGAATTTAGCTAGGAATATTATCCATAATTGTGATCTCTTGATCTCAGACTTACAGTGTTGCTTTTGGTCAGGTGCCTTATCAAACATATTGTCACTGTGCACCAGACAAAACAATTAATTCTGGATATCTAATTACATCATATCTATTGTGTTTATTCCTGAGGATTGTGACATAGCAATAATAAAGATACGGTTCTGGAGCGCCAGTATGACGGCATACACTAAATAAAATGCTCTAAATAGCTACTGCCAGAACTTATCAGTGGCTTCCATTAACTCTAGCATATTACATCAACACACAACTGGAGTCAGTTGAAGCTTGAAACGTTTCCCTGTAAATGGAAGATCTTAATCTGATGCAAAATGGAAGTATTAGTTTACAGAAGCAAAACTCTGGGTTGTGTTTGATAGCGGGTATATAATGGCCTCCAGCCTGATGCTATAGGACAGGGGTGTCAAACTCAATTCCTTGAGGGTGGGAGTCCTGCAGAGTTTAGATCTCTAATTAAACACACCTGATCCATCTAATCAGGTCCTTCAGGTTTATTTGAAAACTACGTTGTATGTGTGTTGGAGCAGGGTTGGAACAAAACTCTGCAGGGCTCCGGCCCTCCAGGAATTGAGTTCGACACCCCGCTATAGGAGAACCCACTGTTCTTCAGAAAGCCATCTAAGTACTTATGCTTCAAAAGAACCAAGAAATGCTTGACTTTTCCTCTACCTGGAATCAATTCGCTGACCTGAAAATGAACTTGTTTTTCCTCCAAAAGAACCATATCACCAACTGCAGAACCCCAAAAGAACCATTGCAGATCCTGTATTTTTTATGAATGTAGACTCAATATTCTCCATCTTTTGAGATTTTTAAAATTTTCCTTCTACTCTCAAGAACCATCCTTTAGAGTAAAATAAGGCCCACCAAAACTGGGGCATTGCTTAAGTGACCTTTCCAAACCTCAGGGTACCTGATTGACTAGGTGATTATGACAATAATGATATAAACTATGACAAAATCCAGACACCAAAGTCCAACCCAGAACCATTCTCCTTCACCGACTGCCTGTCCTTAAATGATGGATGAATTAACTGTACAGTACTTTCTGATGTAAATCATCTCGGCCCTAGACGAATGACAGAGTCTGAGAGCGGTGGGGTTGTTTGTATCCGAATCAGACAACTGATATGTAAACTATAAGAGCACCATGATGCTTGTCATGTTCAAATATCCTTTTATGGCTGCTCCTTCTTACCATATGCTCCGACATAAATACTTTAAAAAAAAACAAAAAGAAAAAAAGGGGCCTCTCAGCTTTTACAAGAGTTACTGTAGGTCTACTGCTGAAAGCTTCAGTTTTTTCCACACACTTCAAGGTCAATACACACACTATTAAGATACAAAGTTTCATTTTGGTGTAAATAAAAGGAAACAGGCTCGAAATAGCCTAACTGTCCCATGCACTTGAGTAGTCGAATCCGTGGAAGAAGTTAAATGTTTGCCAATCACAATTTGCAGATTTATGTTATGTGAGTCTTGAGCTTTTCCAAGAGGATTACAGGGGGAACCCCAAAGCAGTAAAGCAATGCAGAGCTTCATTGCAATAATGTCATTGCGATATTGTCACTATCACAGATGCTTTTAAATACAACTCAAGTACACTAATTGAACTGGTGTGATACTGATCTATCTATCTATCTATCTATCTGTCTGTCTGTCTATCGACTGTATCTGTCATTAATAGTAGACATACAACAAAATTTATGGGAGAAAGATGAGGAATAGGATCAGGAAATGTCAGAAGCTCAGTGTTTTAGAGCAAATGTGCTAATGGCTAAACACTGAAAGCACTTTTTTTTTTTAAATCTTGTTTTTGCCATTTTCTCTTTAAAGAATAGTAGAGCAAAGAGAGGAAATGACATGGGATCAGGTAATTGCATGTCAGAATCAAACTTACATCACTGGTTTGAGCACCATGTCTCTGAGTACACCTGCGTTCAGTATTTAAATACACATCCAACATTCGCGTTTTAGAGTCTGGTGGTTTCCAGTTATTCCGTCTTTTATCACAAAATGCAGTAATGAAGTAATCACACAGAACTGTCATAAGTGTGAAAATGTGGTTTTGTATGTGTTGACACATGCAGTCAGGTCATGAGAGCTGCATGCATAAGCTCATTCTGTTGGCAATGTGACCGGTCCTCTTGAGCACCGGTGGTCTGACAGACCACAAATGCATGCACCATAACATCAGTGTCATACTCAACCACCTCCTCAACTATTGAAATTTTAAGACAGAAAAGGCTGAAAAAACCCCCCCACTGCACCAGTGTAGAAACACACAACTGATTTAGAAAGCCAAAATAAAGCAACACTCAGTATACTTTCAAAGCTGAAATATTCCATTGAAGTAGGCAGATACACACACACATATACTGAATATATTCTGGACATTCCCTTACAAAAATACCATTGTAACCATAGTTTTCACCAAATAACTTTGTTACTACAGTTTATATTACCTATATTTATTTTTTTCTACAAAAAACACTGGTAATCTGGAATTTAGTTATAATTTAACGGATATAAATTATTAAATTATATTAAAGACATAATAATATACGTAATAAATTACTGTATTATAAACTACATAAATAATTTTTAGAATTATATCTAAAAAAAATATGATATTGCCATGTTTTTTTTGGTCAGAAATTGCACAGAAGAGTGTCAAGAAGTGGAAGGAACGATGCCAGAGATCCAGAAAGACGCACTCATCCTCTCTACCTCTTTTGAAGGACCATCGTTTCATCCATGAGAACGAGGGCCAGGAGTTGTGAAGAGGTGGATCTGCCATGTGGAACGTCCAGCGAGTCTCTCCAAGAGGAGTTGATGAGCGAGATATGAGGAAAAACAGCCAGATCAGTGGAGGGAGCCGCCGGGGATTAACTAACATATGATTCAAAGTCAAGAGGCACGGCGGTGGGGGTTCACAGCAAGAGAGAGGGAGAGGGATAAAAGAGAGAAAGGAAGCACTGCTGGATCTGAATGGGACGGAACTGTGTTTAATACTACCCCTACAACAAATAGCACAGTGACGGCATCAGGTGGTAAATACCATAGTATTGTCTCTTCAAAAATGATTTGGACACTTAAATCACTCTTATTTCACATTATTTGGAAACTTTCATCAAATCGTAACAACTTGCTCCACCCCTCAAACGACTTTCCTGTTCTGCTGACATCATCAAGGCCATTTATTTTTAGTCTCCTCCCCTTCAAATAACCTGTCATATAGAGATACTTTTCACCATTGCATCAATTCCTGATAACTGCGCTGTATCATTTTTGTTGGTTACGCTTTGTTTGAAGGTGTAGATGTTAGTCTAATTATACAAATAAGAACTGGGTAATATTAATTAACTACAGTACATGTACTTACTATGGGGTTAAGTTTAGTTGCTTGGAATTTTACAATTTATTGTTATTGCTATAAAAAGTACATGTAACTATAAACTGTTACATTTTATTTATTTTTTTAAATCTGAAATATCTCAGGCAATAAAATGTAAAAATGTTGATTTTAAGTTTGGCTCAAATGCCTAAATATTTTTGGGGCCAATGTACTGTATAAACCATGGTATTGTGCAACTGCCATATTCATACAGCTACCATAATATTTCTGTCCAAAATATAAGACACACACACACACACACAAAATATATATAATTGTACGACCATAGTATTCTTTGGAATACCATTTAAAAAACATTGTATATTGCCTATTTCAAAGTACCATAGTATTTTCACATGTCTAAAAAACAAAGCAAAACAATGGTATTTTTGCAAGGTGGACTAAAATGAAATTTATAACAGTGTGCACGGTCTGGTGTGCAATAGTGAAAGTGGAAAACACCATCTGTGAAGAGCACAAACAAGCGTCCTAACGGTTGCTCTTGAAAAATAACAAGTTTGATTTTAAAAAGACAGACACAACTAACACCAAGTATGATTTTCTACACTACACTTCACCAGAGTGAACTGCATTTCTGGCAGTTCCTTAAATGAAACGGGTGAAGCAATAATGGCCGAAAGCACCAGTGAAATCCATTAAGTCGAGCTCAAGTTGGGTTCTCATAGGCCAGAACGTCCAAACTTCATTCAAAACCCGAGATTAAACACATTAAAGGCTGCATGATAGCTTATCTGGAGCTGCAGAAGATAATGACTTAACAGAACAATGCCACAGATTCAGTTCCAATCGTACAAAGTTAGCATTTTTAGGTTTTTACGTACTCACCCCAATCCAAAAACACAAACAACTATCCGCAACTAGCAAAACGCCCTCCTCTGAATCGAACACACGACTTTCTGGTAGCTGAAGCGTCTGAAAAGAGCACAGTGCTGCGTTAACCACAGCCTAAACGCACAACACTGCTACAACTTCCTCTTCAGACTGACATTCAGCACAGATTTGTAAAATGAAGCCACAAATTAGTAATTTGTCATATTTTTACAACAGATTTTCAGTTTACTCTGGAACAAGTATGAAACAATGATATCTATTCATAAAAGACGTTAAAACTCTCCAAACGTTTTTAATAGGAAATATTCACGTGTTTTAACACAAGTGCCGAAAATTAGTGTACCATGTTGTTGTACCATTTAATATTGGTTTCAGACCTTCTGTTGTGGAAATTATGTTGGAAATGACATTATCATTATACAAAACAAAACTTAACAAATCACTTAAGTGATATTTGTAAACTTTTCTGCATAATTCAACAAAATACTGTCCACAAATTATATTTACTTGGACTTTTCTTCATATTTCAAGTACTTCACTGACGCTGCTGTCTTCAGTGGAAACAGAGGGAAAAAAAGTTGACTTGGGAAAGATTTTGTAAAATGAAGCCACAAATTAGTAATTTGTCATATTTTTACAACAGATTTTCAGTTTACTCTGGGACAAGTATGAAACAATGATATCTATTCAGAAAAGACGTTAAAACTCTCCAAACGTTTTTAATAGGAAATATTCACGTGTTTTAACACAAGTGCCGAATATTTGTGTACCATGTTGTTGTACCATTTAATATTGGTTTCATTACAGTACCTTTTATTGGCATTTTGTCTAAATTTTGTCATTGTGTATAAAATGATATAATGTTGGTTTAAAAAAAATTTTTTTCAATAGCAGCTCATCCAAAACTTACTAAAATAAATTATATTTAAATAACTTACTCACCTTCATGTCATTCCATGAATTAGCCTTCTGTGGAACATAAAATGAGAAATTTTGATTTTGGTTGTTCTTTTGCCTTTATATGTACAAAAGTTATACATTATCTTGGCAACAGACACAACAGCAAGCCATTTTTTTCCCCAATAATTTTTAATTCATAAATTTCATATAAACAGTTAATTGTTGAATAATTTACACACAGCAAGATTCATTTTCATTTGATTCTAATATTTACGTGTACCATGTTGTTGTACCATTTAATATTGGTTTCATTACAGTACCTTTTATTGGCATTTTGTCTAAATTTTGTCATTGTGTATAAAATGATATAATGTTGGTTTAAAAAAATTTTTTTTCAATAGCAGCTCATCCAAAACTTACTAAAATAAATTATATTTAAATAACTTACTCACCGTCATGTCATTCCATGAATTAGCCTTCTGTGGAACATAAAATGAGAAATTTTGATTTTGGTTGTTCTTTTGCCTTTATATGTACAAAAGTTATACATTATCTTGGCAACAGACACAACAGCAAGCCATTTTTTCCCCCAATAATTTTTAATTCATAAATTTCATATAAACAGTTAATTGTTGAATAATTTACACACAGCAAGATTCATTTTCATTTGATTCTAATATTTACTGTACACGTCACTGCTTGGCTTTCCTTGTAAAACTAAAACTGTCGATCCGTACAAGTTTACTATGGCACAGCTTGATCCTGGTCAGATGGATTTGTTGGTTTGTTTAATTAAGTGACATGGTTTCCACACGCAACGGCACAAATTCAACAAGTGAGGGGAAAGTTTTGATGAGAAAGTGTGTGCTGATGATTAAACAAACATTGCTACAATACAGGTGCATGATGGGGCAGAAAAACAGCCCTGAGGATCCTCTATGTGCACAGAGGAAAAACACAACACAGCAAACAAACAAAATGATCAAATGTTCAACTAAACAGAAAATTGTACAGGACAACAGTTGGAAAAAAAATACACAAGGGTGCTGATTATTTGACGTATAAACAGGCCGGACCACCTGAAATGTGTCTATCATGTGTAAGCCCCGAAAATGATGACAGATTTACACAAGAAATAAACATTCAATATTAACAAAACTTGAATTGCTGCTGTAACTGGGGCTGACATGATGTTTTTAACCAGATTTGTTTTCTGTAACCTATGGAAGCCCGTCTCCGCCACAGTATAAAATACAATTGCAACTTTTTGCAATTTTTATTCTATTAAATTTTCAATCTTTTTTTGTGCAATTCTAAGAAAAAAGGTCACAATCACGAGATGCAAACTTAGAATTCTGACTTTTTTTTTTTTTTACAATTTCAAGCTTAAATCCTGTCATTTTGTTTATATCTCACAATTTTGACATTCTCCTTTAAATTCTGCATTTACATCTCGCAATTCAGTTTTTTTCTGCCACACAAAACAAAAACTGTATTTATTTCATCTCACTTTTTTTTTTTTTTTTTTACAATTAAGAGTTTCTCACAGTTCCAAACCTTCTTCTCAGAAACTCGCAAATCTGAGTTTTTAATCTCACAATTCTGACTTTTTTTCCCCTCGCAATTGCAAGTTTATATCTCGCAATTCTCTTTTTGCTGGTATTTTCTCAGAATTTGATTTTTTTATCAGAATAGTGAGTTTGTCTGTCAATTCTGACATTTTTCTTGCAATTGGGATTTTTGTGAATTGGTTTCAGAATTGCGAGAAAAAAAGTCAGAATTATGAGATGTTTAATTTTTTTGTCTCAAAGCAGAGACAAGCTCCATAGTAACCTATTTGTATAAGTTATGATTTCAGATGTCAACTATACCTTTATTTTTGCGTGATTGTAGCTTATAATAAAGTCTGCAGTGGTCTTTTCCAGTTTTTCACATTGAAAAACAATTGTTTATTCAAACGGTCACCTTTATGAATCGCCATGTAGAGGAATTTTCTGTATCGTACAAAGATGGGGGTAACAATTTACAAATACAAAATGCTGACAAAGGTTATGCCATAATTTTTTGGATGGCAAACAAGTAGTTGTACATGAAAAAAAAAAATCAAACAATGCAACATCGTACAAAGAATATCATTGTAGGCCAAAAACCCGAACAGTTCGTCATCCGATCAGTTTGGGGAGTAAAATCGATGTCTTTTATATCTCTGAATCACAGTGTAATGCTATGAACAAAAGACATCACATTTTTATCGAAAAGAAAGCTATATACACTGATCACGTAAATTCCGTAATGTACATGAATAGTAAATGTTTACAGTCAAAAAAGTAATTGAATTTGCCCTCCCTATTTTGACTAAAAAAATAGAAATTAATATCTCCAAGTGTAATACTTTTTCCTTTTAAAAACAATAAAATACATACAATGCCTTGCGCTCAACCTGTTCTGCTTTTTTAGCTTGCTGTAGAAAACTGCATTTGGGGTTTTGTTACTACGTTTATTTAAGGTAATTTATCAAAATTATATTCTCTCAATTTAGACTTTTACACTGGGAGCTGCCAAAGTTGTTGTTTGGGTAACAGTGAATCAATTGTACGATGTTCGTCAAGCGCACAAAGCAAGCCGTAGCATATCCAAGAAGAGACAAGTTCAGCTTAATTAAAAATTAAAATAAAAGTATATCATTCACATATACCAATACAGTAAAACCGAGCCAAGCATTGAGCCAAAGATGTGCTAACCTGTCGAGAAATCTGTACAATAGGCTCCAGTATTTTGAGGATGTTGGGGGAAAAACAATCCGGTCCAGGGAGTTTGTTGGCCAGGTTTGGCTTGGAGGATACTTGGGTTTGTGCAAGGCACTATGGATCCACCAGGGGGGCGCTCAATTAATTCCCCGAAACACATTGGAGAGGCAACGAAAGATGCGAAATGCTTTAGAGATGGACGACTGGCATCCAAAACATAGTTTTTGCAGTTGTCCATCCATTTAGCTAGCAGTGTATAAAATTGATGCTCCTCCGATAAACGAAACCCAACGCTCACATCTCCCTGAGGAAAAGAAAACGTTTCTATGGCACATAGGATTGTCCGCAAGAGTATTTATGAACGCATGTGTAAGGAGAGGCAGGTGAAGTCCGTGTTTACTATAAACTATGGCATTGATAGAAATTTTTTTTCACAGTAGAATACACATGGAACAAAAAAAGACATTGACAATCACATTTGGTGCAAACAAACCATTAAAAAAAAACAGTGTACAAAGTTTTTGTATGTGAAACTACTGAACTCGGGGCATTAGAACGTTTGTTTGGTGAGATACCGCATTGAGTGAAGAAGAGCTGTTTCACCAAGTGCATCACAAATGGTTGTACACCCACTGTAACTAGCCAATAAAAAAAAAAACATCGCATAATTTTTCGTGGGCATTTTTGCGCAACAAACTGTGATTCAGTAGTCTCTCAGGAATTGACTTGAAAGGTTAAATTGAGTTTAAATCACAGAAAACATACAATGTTTGCGAATTAATGACAAGTGGCTTTACGAAATGTTTTGTATAATTCAAATAAGTGCTTCATGTAATAGACAAAGAGATCAAATGCTGTAATACCTCATTCAGATTAGCAGAGCCAAACAATGTACCGTAAAATAAAAACCAGTTTTTCCCACACACTTCATGCTATAGGCGTCTTTTAACGTTGTACTTTAGTAATACCTCAGGATAAACTTTCATTTTATCGAATTTTTCGCAACGAAACTGGCACTGCATATTTCAAATGATTCAAAAGACAGACGTCACCCGTTAAAGTGAATCTTTGGGTTCTAAGCTTTCTCCAAAATCAAAATCGAATAACGGGGAACAAGGGAGTGATCCATAATCGTTGCGAGAGAGAACCTCTAGTGGCCGAATTTGGGATTGCTGACATGGTTTTTGCTGTTAAAGAAATTCGAACAACTAAAGAGAGATGCACTTGGCTCTAAAAAAATTTCTAAAAATATACTGAGGTAGACTGTCTCCAAACAACCAACAGAAAGACATTAGCACTAAACCAACTGCGTTTGCGAACTCGCCAGCTGTATCTCTCTTTAAACAAAAAATAAACTAAAAGACTAGTTTTACCCGCCTTAGAGTATTGTAATAAAAGCTAGCAGGGATTTACATAATTATGAGGATCATAAAATAAATAAAATTTCAATATTTGCCTTTTCAAAGATATGGCAATCTTGTTATTTAGGAAAAAAAAAAAAAGAATCTGCTTCATTTTACAGGAAAAAAAAAAAACTTTCTTTGCAATAGTTTTCGAACAGCTACAAGCTAGTTTGATTTCTTCGATTCTGCTATGTACATCTAAGATAAAGCCAATGGGACCAAGAAAGGGAATTTTTTTTTATCAGCCTACGGTACAAAAATGCGAGAAAGATGAGGAAAAAAACATGAAATGGCAAAAACACTTAAAAAAGCTTGCGTGAATTTCAGCCTCGTTCTGTCGCTTCCCTCCCAAACTACCCACGAATAAATATACATACACAAATATACACGCACATACATGAAATGTGCACATTTTTTGATGACGACAAGCAAGATCCAGTAAAAATGGAATTATGCATCTGCCCATGAAAGCTGTCTGCTGTTTTTCTTTAAAGGATTATTTGGGGAAAAAAACGGCGTCATTCTGACAGAGGAGGAAGTTTACTTTCCCTGTGGTCTTCTAAGACTTCACTTTCTCAGAACTAGAGCGTAAATGCCGTTATTATACGAAGCCGTGCGAGATCTACACTCACTTTTGATACTTTAACAGGTACCGGAGGCTGATCGGGGCTAAATTACAAGAATGTTTTTTGATCTGATTCAAATATTGCCAGGTCGAATATTTCAGCTGTCAAAAAACAAAGAACCTAGAATCCCTAGGTAGAGCTTATCTCACAATAAGATCCTAAATCCCCCTGGAAAATCAGGTAAATAGTAAATTGAGCCAAAAAAACGAAACATTCCCAAAACATTCTCCACAACAGCTATCGGAATCCCAAAATTTAACTGAGGAACATCCAACAAAAATCCAATTTATGACAGGAAATTGGAACTTTTATTCCCTTGAATTGAGCAATCAAATATTTCTATTTTTAAATAATACTAACAATAATAATATTTAATTATTATTATTCATTATTCCGAAATGAAATTGTAATTTTGATAATTTGAATTTAGGCTAAACCAAAAATGCTCCCCACTGTACGCTGGAATATCACTGTGAGTCAACTTGCATGTTAATTAATGCGACATTAGACATAGACAAAAAAAACAGCTCATGAAAAGACATTGTTGCAAAAAATATTGCATAAGCAAAGCCAATGAAGACATTAGAAAAAGACATTAGAATTGTACAAAAGTTCAGATGTTGTGAATATTATATTTAAAATACTGATACCAATCAATATTTAAATATTCTCTCTCTCTCTCTCTCTATATATATATAAAATTTGAATACCTACTATATATCAGAGCAGCAGCTATTGGTCAGTCTGATTTACTCTTTTGTCCAATTCATAACTGTTAAATATCCTTCAGCCGGTAAAAAGGACAGGAGAAAAAAAGCTCAGAGAAAAAAAAAGAACAGAAAGCAAATAAATTAAAGCTCATTCACCAGAACACCATGTGAACATCATCTATGTGAATTTAGGAATTCTCCAGGACAAAATAAAAATCATTCCTCTACAAAACAAAGGTTTGTTCTAAAAGAATATAAGCCATCCCATAGTTCCAAACTGTAAAGTCGTTGTTCTAAAGAAATCAACACAAGCGTTGATAGACACTTCTCTTTTTATAGGCCACTTAAAAAAGGCCACTATCTTAAAAGATATCCACTTAAAAAAAAAAAAAACGAAAGAGAGAGAGAGCGAGAGACAGGAAATAAGCATCCAAAGGAGAAGGAAGCGGACTTTGAGGTGACCTAGCCGAAGCAGCTTTTCTAGTTGATTTAGTCATGTTCACAGTTTGCTTTTCCCCTCTGCCCAACTTGGCAAAAGTGTAAAAGTGTCAGAAAGCGAATGGTGCATCAGATGATGGGCAATATAACGTCCGTTTTCGTTGCAACCATACTAGTGTAGCTGTGAGATGGAAACAATAACAACAACAACGACAAACAAAAAAGACCTGAGATCTGTATCTTTAAGGGCCTCTGAAAAAATAACGCATTTAAAAACTTTTCTTTAAAAATCGAGAGAGAAAAAGCAGAGGCAAATGTTAGGACGGACTAGATCTGGGTAAAGACAGAATTCGGCCATTTTTCTTTCCACCGTTCATATGCGTGTAGGGCACGTGTTCCTCGTAATTGCCCCGTAGGCCCACCGAGGGGCCGTTGTCTCTACTGAGGCTCTCCTCGTGTTGGGAATAGGATGAGGGGTCCAGTGGTATGCTCTCCATGTTCTCGAAGTCCATGTCAAACTCCTCAGTCTCAGGCTGTTTGTTCTCCTCGCTGTAGAAGAAAGAGACCTCTTGGAAAGTGGGATGCAGGTCTTCCTTGATCATCTCAATGATCTCAAGGAAAGTGGGCCGCATCTTCGGGTTATACTGCCAACACATCTGCATGAGGTTGTGCCTGGGAGAAGAGTTAGAGCAAGAGAAGACAATTTGGAAAGTGGGATGCAGGTCTTCCTTGATCATCTCAATGATCTCAAGGAAAGTGGGCCGCATCTTCGGGTTGTACTGCCAACACATCTGCATGAGGTTGTGCCTGGGAGAAGAGTTAGAGCAAGAGAAGACAATCTTAAACCACCTAAACCTCATTCTCCAAGCAGAGGCTTGGTATATGGATATACCAATGATCTATTATGGTCTTTTCAACAAGATTTATTTCTATGTCGGTACTTACATTCTCTCTGGACAGTTATCAGGCCTGTCCAGGTATCCTCCATCCATGACAAACTTGAGCACTTGCTCATTGGACAGTCCTTGGTAAGGCTGCTCAGCAAGTGTGCTGATCTCCCATAATACCACTCCAAAAGACCTAAAAGTCAGCAGATTTTTATTACAGCACTGCCAGCTCAATAGGCTGGGACTGTCCACATATGCGTTCATTTTGGTGGAACCAAAAATGTCCAATCCTGCTCCTGGAGGGTCAATGTCCAGCAGACTCCAACCAGCTTCAACACACTTGCCTGGAAGTTTCTAGTAATCCAGAAGACCTTAATTAACTGGTTCAGAACTCTGCAGGACAGTGGCCTCCCAAAAACAGGACAATTGGACACCCAACAGGACCAAAGCACTTCTCGACTAGTTTGTTGTGAGGGATCTGAATGTTCTTCTAGACACCGGGTTAACAAAAAATTCCAAAGAAACCCAGAGAAATACCCACCAGCAATCCGAGTGAGCAGTGAAAATGCCATCTTTTAGGGACTCTGGTGCCATCCATCTGACAGGCAATAAGCCCTTCCCGCCCTTGCGATAGTAATCAGTCTCATAGATGTCTCGCGTCATACCAAAATCTGCAACAATAAAAAATAAATCAAGATTTTTTGTCCTTCGAATCCCGAGTTTCACACTAAATATGCTCCATTCTGGTCTTCTTACCTCCAATTTTCACAGTGAGATCTTCAGCCACCATGCAGTTTCTGGCAGCAAGGTCTCTGTGGACAAACTTCTTAGCGTTGAGGTATGCCATGCCATCTGCTATCTCCGCTGCCATTTGGATCATCTCCTTCAGGGTTGGCGGTGGACGACCTGGGTTATTCTGTAAAAAAATCGATTGAAATCAATAATCACAGCTACAGGCTACTGTTAACTATTGATTGTGATGTTTCATAGACTGATATATTTAACATGAAGGAAAACTGGATTATTTAACATCAAATGACAGCATTTGGTCCATTTTACTGTTATAATGTCCTCAGGTGCAATGAAATTGGGGGCTCATCCGGGATAGAACGATTGGGGTCATTATACATCAGGAACATGAAGACTTACCTCAGAATCGGGTCTCAAGCTACGCAGGTAGCTTTTCAGATCTCCGTGTGTCATCAGTTCCATGACAACCAATGTCGGTTGCCCCTTAGATACCACACCGAGCAAGCGGACCTAGACAAACATTTTTTAAAAGTTGAACATTTAGACAAGGTTGTTTCTGCCTTGATTATTTTGGTTCGCCAGGTTATCCACACTCACCACGTGATGGCAGGTAAAAGCTTTCATGACCGAAGCCTCATTGAGGAACTCGATTCTCTCACGCAGGCTCGCCGACTCGTTGACGGTTTTAACGGCCACTCGCGTCTCTGGTTCGCCCTTCACAATGTCTTTAGCGATGCCATCATAAACCATTCCGAATGATCCCTGACCGAGCTCTCTCATAACACTGATCTTCTCCCGAGGCACCTCCCATTCATCTGGGATATACACTATAAATACACAAATTCAAATTTTCAAATTTTAATAATAATATTGTATTTTTTGCTTTCCAACAAAAAATACGCAAATCGAAAGCTATAAAACAACAAAAAGAGTAAATATGCTATCATTTTTATTCCATTGCTGCAACTATATAACTATATATATATACTGTATATATACACACACACACACAACACACACTTCATTCCAGTGCTTTGATAGGTTTTTTTGGCAATGGATTATTTCTTTGATTAATTCGATAAAGATGCCAAATTTTATTTACAGGATTTTATTTTATTTATTCTTATTTTATTTAGACAAACTTATTGATAATGACATTAGTTCACAATCTCTAAAATCACCTAAAAAGACATCTTACCATCATTTGCACTTATATATTCTGGGTTTGAGGAAGCAATCAGTGGGCCAGTCGGTCCTTCAGTTTGTCTGAGAGAAAAGATATTTATACATGATAGGATTGTCTAGATGATAAACAAGGACTTAATTTAAGAGCGTCTAACACATACTTCTTCCTAAGGACAATGAAGACTGTGCTGGCCAGAAACAGCAGTACAATGAAGCAGATGAGTGGGCCAATGATGATTTTCATGTTCATATCCCCTGTAAAACAAGTACATTAGAGACCATAGTGGCCAAAATTACAGTAAAAATGTAATAAATACAGTGAAGTGAACTTACTGTCTTGAACAAAGAAGTATGCAGGCTCTGTCCAGGAACCGTTGCTGGCCAGAGAAGTGGCACGTATTCTCACACTGTAATTCCCAGGATGCCCTACTCGTAATCGATAGCCATGAATTTTTTCATAAGTGATTCTGGACACACAGACTTGATCCTCCTGAGGGACAAAAAAAAAATTGTAATAAAGAAAATTATATACACCTCTTTGAACACAAATGTTAAAATATATAATTGTGTAATATTTTAAATACATATACTTTTAAAATACATATTTTTAATACATAAATATTTTAGGTGTATACAAACAGTATCTCACAGAAGTGAGTACACCCCTCACATTTTTGTAAATACTTTATTATATCTTTTCATATGACAACACTGAAGAAATGACACTTTGCTACAATGTAAAGTAGTGAGTGTACAGCTTGTATAACAATGTAAATTTGCTGTCCCCTCAAAATAACTCAACACACAGCCATTAATGTCTAAACCGCTGGCCACAAAAGTGAGTACACCCCTTAGTGAAAATGTCCAAATTGGGCCCAATTAGCCATTTTCTCTCCCCGGTGTCATGTGACTCATTAGTGCTACAAGGTCTTCAGTATGAATGGGGAGCAGGTGTGTTAAATTTGGTGTTATCGCTCTCACTCTCTCATACTGGTCACTGGAAGTTCAACATGGCACCTCATGGCAAAGAACTCTCTGAGGATCTGAAAAAAAGAATTGTTGCTCTACATAAAGATGGCGTAGGCTATAAGAAGATTGCCAAGACCCTGAAACTGAGCTGCAGCATGGTGGCCAAGACCATACAGCGGTTTATCAGGACAGGTTCCACTCAGAACAGGCCTCGCCATGGTCGACCAAAGAAGTTGAGTGCACGTGCTCAGTGTCATATCCAGAGGTTGTGTTTGGGAAATAGACGTATGAGTGCTGCCAGCATTGCTGCAGAGGTTGAAGGGGTGGGGGGGTCAGCCTGTCAGTGCTCAGACCATACCCCGCACACTGCATCAAATTGGTCTGCATGGCTATCATCCCAGAAGGAAGTCTCTTCTACAGATGATGCACAAGAAAGCCCGCAAACAGTTTGCTGTACTGTGACATACTGAAGCAGAGCATGATCCCCTCCCTTCGGAGACTGGGCCGCAGGGCAGTATTCCAACATGATAACGACCCCAAACACACCTCCAAGACAACCACGATTCTGATGGATTGGCCAAGCATGGGCATCCTCAAATGGAAGGTGGAGGAGCGCAAGGTCTCTAACATCCACCAGCTCCGTGATGTCGTCATGGAGGAGTGTAAGAGGACTCCAGTGGCAACCTGTGAAGCTCTGGTGAACTCCATGCCCAAGAGGGTTAAGGCAGTGCTGGAAAATAATGGTGGGCGCACAAAACATTGACACTTTGGGCCCAATTTGGACATTTTCACTTAGGGGTGTAACTCACTTTTGTGGCCAGCGGTTTAGACATTAATGAAAATAATGAAAAGATATAATAAAATATTTACAAAAATGTGAGGAGTGTACTCACTTCTGTGAGACACTGTACATATTAGATATAGTATTAGATATATTTAAATTTTTTACATATCTAAAATATTTGTTAATATATTTTCAAAAATATAAATTAATAAATATTTAATTATTGTATACATTTTCGTCTGCATTAGGAGTGGGCGATATAGCCTCAAAATTATATCACGATATTTCAAGAACACTTGCGATAACGATATTTATGATGCATTTATGATGATATATAAAAAAAAAACATGAAACAACGTTTATTGGTGATTGCAGCTGGCAGGCAGCAGCATTTATTAGTGCAAACAAAATGAAGGGCATTTTCCATCCTTTGCGGTGTGTTAAGGCCAAAAGTACTTCGGCCGTCCACGTCTGTGCACCGTCCACATTACGTCATTTTTGTCATCAGGAGGGCTCAAGGAGAGCCACGCACCCCATCTGTGTGCAGGCAATTTTTTGAGACAAGCTCATCCGCGGTTGAGTATACTTTGAAAGTAGTGCGGACGCGAGATGGAACGGAACGCGGAATGTGAAGTATACCCAGGCTTTTACGGCTCCGACACGGCCACTCTAGTCAATGCTTGTGTTTACACCAGCAGAGCCGCCGCAAATTTTCAGAAGCGGCTCTCTGTGCCGCTTCGCTAAAGATAAGTGCGCCCATTTCTGAAGGTAAGAGTGTGTGCTCGAATATGCTCTAGAACCGCTCTCGCAATACTTTGATGTCATACACCGATCAGTCTGCGCAGCGCTGCTTCAAGTCGAACACACCTATTGGGTTTGTGGTGTTGTTGTTGTGCGCACTAGGGAACGTATATATGTCATCACATCGCTATATCATTGATATCGCGATATGGCACTTTTTTTATTATCGTGGTATTATCGTGGACGGTATGATATGGCACACCCCTAGTCTGCATTTTTCAATATCTAAAAGTATAAATGTTTAAATATCGCAATACTTTCATGTCCTACACCGATCAGTCTGCGCAGCGCTGCTTCAAGTCGAACACACCTATTGGGTTTGTGGTGTTGTTGTTGTGTGCACTAGGGAACGTATATGTCATCACATCGCTATATCATTGATATCGCGATATGGCACTTTTTTATTATCGTGGTATTATCGTGGACGGTATGATATGGCACACCCCTAGTCTGCATTTTTCAATATCTAAAAGTATAAATGTTTAAATATATACAAATATTTATTCAACAATCTACAGATAAATACTGTAAAAATAATAATATAAAAGCTAAAATATATACATATTAATATATGTGAATTTCTTCGAATTAATTAAACACCTACATAGTTATCCGACATCCTCATGTATTTGACTTCATACAGTATGATCATGCCATTGGGCGCTTTCGGCTCCTGCCATTTGATGTAGACCAATTCCGGTTCATCGGGAAAAAATTCGTGAGTCACTGGCCCGACAATGTTGTCAGCTTTTACTAAGAACACAAACAGAAAGTCGACACATTAGAATGTGAAATCAAACCAAAAAAATAGAAAAGAGTTTTGTGGCAGTCTTACGTTCAGGCAGCGTGCGGGCGTTGACGTATGTCGGCATGCTGCAGCGGTTTGGATCTGTGGGATGGTTGCAGGCCTGGATCTCGATCTGGTAGCTGGTGAAGTGGACCAGGTTGGGGATGACCATGAACTCTTTGGAGTTGGCTTTGAACACCATCTTCTGACTCTTTTCCTTCTCTGGGCTCGAAGTGGTGGAAAAGTTGGGCAGGCTGGACAATGTGCTCACAAAATTCGGCAAAGTCGCATTGGCCACACCAACTGAGCGCCGCCGTCGGTGGGGTCTGCAGGTTGACAGTGAAGACTTTCAGTCTTTCAGAGTTTCATTTGGAGCGGATGGAGCAAAAATACCCTAATGATTTCAGTTCTAAGGCTACATAATAAAGACTAGATAATGTGTGTAAATGATGCTTTATTTGTAATTTATCTTATCACTTCTGCCACAGAAAATGATGGGAAATGTTTAGGAACGATGTCAGTCTTTGATAAGTAGTAGTAGTAAATATATGCTTTACTATTCATTCCATTGCTGAGGCCAACAACTATTCTGATAACCATTTAGTCAGTTTATTATTTATTTGTGTTAATTGTTAATTATTTGTGGCACTGTTAAGTTTTTTTCTCGGCTTGAAATGTAAAATTGAAGACTATAAAAAAATAAAATAAAAAATAAATGTAAACATGTTATTTCTTTGATTAACTACATAAAAATGACAAATTTTATTTCCATTATATACATGTGTGTGTGTGTGTATATATACAGTGGTGTGAAAAAGTGTTGGTCCCCTTCCTGATTTCTTATTTTTTTTGCATGTTTGTCACACTTTAATGTTTCAGATCATCAAACAAATTTAAATATTAGTCAAAAGATAACACAAGTGAACACAACATGCAGTTTTTCCAAAACTACATGGCCCTGTGTGAAGAAGTGTTTGCCCCCTAAACCTAATAACTGGTTGGGCCACCCTAAGCAGCAACAACTGCAATCAAGCGTTTGCGATAACTTGCAATGAGTCAGTTACAGCGCTGTGAAGGAATTTTGGTCCACTCATCTATGCAGAATTG